AAAAAAAGAGCTTTAAAGAGGGAAGCAAGAAAAGAAAGAAAGAAAGAAACAAGGAAAGGATGAAAGATGAAAGACACAAATTATGATGTGACCGTCTCGCGCAGCTAACAGTGAACTGTTCTAGGAATCCTTTTGCACGTGTACACGCTAATACCYTACCACGTGACAGAACTATTTGCTAACACCGGTCACTGTGCACATGCCAAGGGATCAGAAACAAAACGTGATTACTATCAATTAAAGTAGAACAGGAAGGGCAGTATTGCGATCATGAAATGATTACTCACTTGAAAACTAAGATGAAAAATATATTATTGTCTTTGCAAGTAATTAAAATTCCATCTTTCTTCCGCACAGTTAGGAAATATCGCTTGTTGAGATAACACCATGAAAATATCTTTGACTCGAAGTGGCAATGAATTATTTGGTCTTAGTTTGCTGTTTTGGTAATTTCTCGTCATGTAGACCGACACTGATCCTATAAATAAACGCAAGGGAGAGTACTGTYTTCCGTAATTACGGTTCCCTCTTTAAATAAAGTGTTACTACTACTACTACGACTAGATAAAAAAACGCGAAACTTTTTGCTCAACCTAGCTAGGCGGACACCCATTAAAGTGTACTTCGTACTAGGCCACTGAATATGTGTCCAATGTRCGCTAAAACTAACAACGCTTTCCCACCTTGCTCATCGTCTCTCCCGCGATCATAGATATCATGTATCCATATATTGTCTATAAAGAAAAAGAGACTTCACTTGCAGGTGCTGAGAGCAMAAGAAGTCGTAACCCTTCGAGGCATAGAGTTTAATCTGATATACCACAAARCCTCTTATCAAGGACTGTATTTGATTATTTTGCGAGATAGATATAATGAGATCGGAAACTGCATCAGAAAAGCACGCTATTAAAAACAACAGATCATCGAAATGATATTTCAAACGAAAAACACAATTTTTCCTTATTTGCGGAATCGATGCACTTGAAACCAGTGATTATACTTCATCAATGTTTTGCACTATATTGCTTGTCAACCATAACTTTTTTTAGTTATTGTAATTGATTTTTGTCAAGAAGATATGTAATATTTTCGTTCTAATTTCTTTTTTAGTGGTTTTTTTTAGCATTTTTCTTGTATGTCGGACACAGAGACCAGTGTTAAAAATTAGACAGCTCATATTGCTAACCATATTCATTTTAGTTTTTGTGAGGAAAGGTTGTCAAAAAGAAGATTCCCCTTATAAATGTTTTTCTTACGTAATAGTGTTTTTTTAGTTGTTGTTTAGAAATGACACAGATATTTAGACTAACGATCAGTATGAAACTGCTCAAGCGGTATTGCAACTATATATTTTTCAATTGTTGTGATGGATAGTTGTCAAGAAGATAGTATTTAAAATTTTCCTCCTAAATCWGTCCCTTTCCTAATTGTTGAATTTTTAGCATTTTCACTTGTTTTTTTGGAAGTGGGACAGACGTTTAGACTAATGATTAGCACATGATTGCTCACGTGGTATTGCCCAATATATACTAATATATATTTATTTATGATTTACCTTCTAGGTAGTTCTCAGTGTGGGTTTTAAAGCATTATTCAATGTCTTGTTGGTTGGAAATGAGATATTTAGAATAACGGTAAGCATTAGTTACAATGTTCATTGAYAAGCAAGGAATCAAATCAAATTTTTAGGAAATGAAGGCTTAACACGCAGTCATACAAGTTACTTTACTCCCTCGCCAAAAATGAACTTTGTACTGAGGAGTAGGTTAGAATAGATAGTACGAATACATGGGCGTTTTTAAGTTTATCTTAAACCAGAGGCTGATCCAAGAATCCGAGAAAGGGGGGACCGGAGTATAGTTAAGCTTCAGACATATACATAGACGAATCTCATCACTTGCTCTACGAAAAAACAAGAAAAAGAAAAAAAAAAAACTGGAAGAGGTCTGAGGGCATGCTTCCAAGGAAATAATAAATAATTAAATTATGGTTGCCAGCAATCTTATTGTATGTGTTATGGCAATCTTTCGAACAATAAAATAGGTAAAAATATAATTTTAATCCCAAACAAACAAACAGGTGCTGCCCCCCCCTGTAAACCTCTGTGCCCACGCCGCTGACTAGTTCAAAATCATTCATGAAATTGAAGCCGGGAATCGAATTAGGGAGTAAAATATATAAGCTATATTGAGAGGATAGCTTTATGATGTTCTAAAGAGCAGCGAAGACAGTTACAATTGCAATTGTACTTCATCTTCTTTTATAGATTTGTCAAGTGCGGATCGGGCTAGCCGATTTGTCGCGCAAAAATAGGTCAGCTGTAAAGAAAATAAGTATTATCTGTAAATAGAATCCTCATTAAATAAGAATCAAAAAATGTTTGATTTTTAAAAATCATTTTACTTAGTAGATTATCCTTTCATCATTATTCTATCGCATGCGCATGAACCATGCGGTTTAATAGTTCTGTTCTTCAATAATGCGTAGGATCGGCTCATGTTATCGATTAGTCATCGTGCATTGTTTAGTCGATGGGAGCGCGTGGCATTATGGACAGATTGCATTCAAGATATCCACTTAAAATCAAGCATCATAACAAACACCTTCTAGAACTTTCTTTCACCCTTTGAAATCCTTTATTAACAGATCCACGCAATGCTGAGAGTAGCATTTGGTTTACCGTGTGATACTGTTAAGACATCTARCTCATCATGGGGAAACTTTGTTTGTACGAGGAAGAGGCTGAAGATTGGTGTTTTAATATCAAAATCGAGAAAACACACATTATTTCGTCCGATATATTGAACAAGTTTAAGAAAACCTCTGGGAAAAACTTGACTTTCAGTAATGAGACGATCGAGGAGGTTTTATACGCCGGCTCGCAAGAATTGTCTGAAGAAAAGTGCAATGGAGAACAGATGAAACATGTCATTCTGGCGGGAACAGAATTTGCAAAACTCTCCAAAACCTTGAACGATTTGATGCCTGGATATTTCAATGATGAAAATCAAAATTGTACGCTAGCGAGCTATTTGGAGGAAAAACTGAAAAGCCTTGATAAAGTCTGGTGTAAACGAATGACTATGAGGATAAAATGGAATGTGCTTGCGAGTAAAGAAGCTCATCAAGAAAAGGCTCATAATAGCCTAAGCGTATCTCGGAAAGAACGAGTTACTCTACATGCAGAGATTTCTATCACTTTCTCTTAGAGCATAAATCTTTCTCTTTGATTTCTCGTAAAAGAAAACTCGTTTATACCKGACGAAAAGTCCCACGTCAAAGAAAAGCCCGCGCGTGTATGAAGGATTTTGTGGTTCACAGATACTGCAAAGCCATTCAGACAAACGTTGATCGCTTCTGGAAAAAATAACGAAATCCATCAAATGAGCAGCATTGAAGARTGATGCGGGTCCTTGGGCACTGGAAACAATAAAGCTATCATAGGCTTGAAAAGACAGCTGCTCATCGCAAGACAAAGAAAAATACACCACTTGAAGTAAGAAGTCGCAAGAAAAAATAATCCCAAGATAAAGGAAAATTCTGCTCACGACTTCTCAACTAATCCTCTGTGCAAATCAATGCTAAAATACTTTGAAAAAGAAAAATATTCAAAGTGTAGAGAAAGGTATATGTTGGCACTCGATGTATGTCTATAGCAGCTAATTGCACAAACCTATAGCTAGTCTAGAATAATCAATTTGTAGTTCTAAAATAAGAACACTGATGACAGAGAATTCAAGAAGTTCATAAGCATTGATGAAAGTAGCGTACGTAGGTAGCCAAATGCAATAAATAAACTAAAGTTAGATTGAGAAAAATTGTCAATGCCGAACTAAAACTTAACGATTTTGAGATTCAGAAATGCATGAAGATCACTCAGTAAGAGATCCCCTGGAACCGTTTATATTTTTTATCATTATYATCATTATTATTTTTGTRCATGATCTTTCAGTTTTTGAAAATTGTATGCGATTCCAAGTAACGCGAAAAGCAGGTGCCGTTTTCAAATATTTTWGCAAATCAACTGGTATAGCCTTTTTAAATGTATATTATATGACGTAAATCACACAGAGAATAGCAGATTAACTACGTTGGATAAAGCACTTTATTGCCTTAACTCAAGGAAAATATATTCATGTGACAACTTGGTATACATTTTAGTTGTTTTTTCTATCTTAGTTTTTTTGCCACTTGAAGYGTTTTTATAAGGTCAATGTAAATAACAAGCATTCATTCTTAAATAAAGAATTCTCTTTTTGAATCGTCTTGCGAGATACTTTAATGTTTTTGATTTTTCTTGCGACTAAACTGGTTTTTTTGGGGGGGAGGGGTGGGAAGCATTAAGTTTTCTTGCTTACTGCTTTTAAGGAACAYTTGCTTAGTCCTCTTCATTCTTTTGGGAACACAGGCCCTTCATCATTGTCCTCTACCTCACTCTGTTATCAGCTTTTTTCTTTGCCTCTTTCCATGTCATGTTTACGTTCTTCAGTTTTGCCATGCGTGACCTCYTCCATGACTGTAGTGGCCTCCCACCTTTCTCCTTATTCCTTGTTGAGTTACAGCTAACTTCATGGGTATAAATGGRTATAAAAAGGGTTGTCTACGAATTCAGTTAACCAGTTAATTATGCAAAACGCTCTGATAATATGCCGAAAAGTTGTACTCGAAAATTAATTTTGTCGCAAGCAGAGGTTGAGTATTTTGTCATTGAGTTGTCGGTACATAGTTTTCTTTCGCAAGCAATTTTCATTTCATTTTRTTACCACTGATTTTCTCCAATATACTAATTTCGGCTTGCCGTACGTGCATCCAATCTTTGGATCATTAGTTCGCCACTATAAAAACATCAGTATTCATATACTATACAGCAAAATAAAAAAAAGCAATTAAGAAAAATGACTACACATAATGAGGAGTCTAGCGCCTTAGGAACTCGTAGAATTCGCTTGCCGGAATTTACTTCAGTTTTTGGGTAGCAAAATAAATAGGTTCTAGAAAAACAAGTAAGGCGCAGTTTAGGCTGCGTATACAGTTCGTGTGGTCTACTGTTTGTCGTAAARGTTTGCCGCTCCGGTCAAAACGATCAAATAATAAACCTACAAACAAACAAACTGTAGTTTTTCGGATATACAAAATAGCTAAATATAGATTCCTTATATTAGTTGCGTAGATAAAAATAGAACTATTCCAATATGATAATATAATATATGAATACTATAAGTATATAGAATTTGATTCAATGGGCTGGACGTGTATATACATCAAAAAAGAAAACAATAACTCGCTTCTCGTATCCACAGAAAAAAAGATCAGAAAAGAAATTGAATGAACGGGTGAACGAATGAACGAACAAACAAAAGAGTGAATGAGGCATTATGGTACTAGGATATGCAATAACAATAATACAAATATTAAAACCTCTATACTCTGTAATAAAAGTCTCTAAACGAATATAGCTATTTCGAAACCAAAAAATGCCATAACAATATAAATGGAGGATAAAAGCGGCTAGATTCTCGTATTAAATAACATAATRCTCAACATATATATATTTAATCCCAGAAAGTCAATCCATCCACAAAAGTCTTTTCATGGATTTATTTCTTTACGTGATTCAATTACATCGAGTATTCGCGTATATTCTACAACTATAGCCGACTTCTAGAAATTTCGATGCCCATTAGACTAGTATTTGTTAATTAATATCCAAGTCACTTAAAATAGCCGTTGGCTTTATTACTGAAGAAGGAATAATCCTTTTCTAATTATATTTTTGGAATGTAAACCACGTTTTTAGACCGAATCAGAAACTCATAATAAGAGAGTTGTTCTGCCAACCCCCGCGTGCTTTATGACTGCACAAAGCACGTGCGCGCGTTTTCTATTTCTTCAATAGAAAACGCGCGCGCGTGTGCTGTGTGCAGTTACAAAGCACGCGGGGGTTGGCAGAACACGAGAAAAGTGTTAGGATAAGCACGACGCGCAGCGGAGTGCCTCTCAACACTTCTCGAGTGTTCTGCCTATCCCCAAGTGCTTTATACTGAACACAGCTCAGCAAGCAAGTTTTTTCTATTTCTTTTATAAAATACAAATTACCGGTAAATGACGAAAAAATATTTGTGATTGGGCCTCCTGTGGTTGATGATTGGGCTTCCTGTGGTTTCAGAACAAAAATGGCGGAACTAATGGCGGCWAGATTCAAACATGATCTTGGAAGAAAACCATGAAAAATGGATTTTGACGAAGCTGTATTATGCAGTGACGACAGTCTTTACATCAGATATACAGATGGATCTGTTCTACAGTTGTCTCCTTGTTCGTCTGCATTTCGCTTTTATCAGAATTTTTCATTTAAACCGCCACATATCCAACAGTTCAGTAGATTTGCTGTCAGTACGTACAGGAAACAAGTTATAACTGCCATATCATTGAGGAATCAGTTTGCCTGTTATCCATATCTATGTAAAGAATTGCTKAACAAAGATGATATTATCGTAAGGAGAATTTAGCTTGTTCGCTTCTTTTTAATTGGATTTTTATTCAARAACCTTTCCCATTTTTGTTAACTTAGGTATGTTACAATGAGRTCAAACAATGTACCTGGCCAACAACACCTCTGCCAGACTTTGTAGTCAGTAATAGTGATGGTAGTATCATGGTTAAATCACTGGATGGTTATGCAAGTCTTGTTCTTAGTTCTCATAAAAAGACATTTACAGTATATTACCTAGCTGAAGTTAATCCTGATTCTACACACCCACAGTCAGCCCAGGTAAACTATATATTAGATTGAAGTAATTATTTTTTAAATTCAAAGTCCAGATAATGATCAGAACAACCTAAGAGGTGTTTGGCTGGATAATATAGGTGCTGATTTTGGCTGGATTTTGTCTATTGACAGACCAAYATTTTGAGCCCTAATCTTTTGTACTTATTATGAGAACTTCATTGTTTTCATTAGAAGAAAGAACAACATTTCTACACATGGGTACAGAAAGGAGAACAATCTGTCAATGACTRTCAAGAGTGCTGGTTGTATCCATTGAGGATTGCACTCTCAGTTGGTGATGGGCTCCAGACCAAATCAGAAGAGTTGGCAGAGATGACTAACATAACTGACTTGCCTGCTTCTCTACCCATCATATGCCCTGCATTACATGCCCACAAGTGGATCCCAAAAGAGGTATATTCAGGATATGATGATTTTTTTTATTATTGTTCATTTTTTCTTCTTTGTTGTATTTTATGGGGATCACAGGTTGTGTGCACTGCTAATGCATCGACTCTCACCAATGCAACCCAAGTTTGATTCTTGGGCTTGGTATCATATTTGAGTGGAGTTCTCCTGTGCTTTGAGGATTTTTCTCTGGAAACTCGAGCTTTGGGCTCTGTTGAGAATATCCCACACTGCAACATACCAGCTTTTCCCATTCTCATTACACCTTCCTATGGTTTCCATGTACCTTTTCAAAAAGTGTTTATCAGGCAAGTGTTTGYCTTCTAAATGTGCATCATTACAGTAGCGATATAATTAAATTTGTTTAAAACATGCACAAGGTATTGTTTGTTTGCACCCTATCCACAACTCAATCTATAAGATGCTTTAATGCATCAGCGTTGGGTAAAGTGTTCATCGGCTAAATTATAGCACCACAAAGTAGACTGTAAGTTAATCTGGAAGGAATGTACCCAGTACTTTTGGATGTTTTTTTGAAAAGGTTTTTAGTGGAAAAGAAAAAGAAGAACTTTTTTGGCAGCCCAACTTGAAAGCTGTTTGGAAGAATAAGGCATTATACAGGTAAGAAGAWGGTGTGCACTCTGCCTCACTGCCTGGTAATTTTAGGTCTCAGACATACTGAAGTATTTTAAACCAAAAAAAAAACAATTCAGTAGTAGTGTAATTTAATGTGTTACTTCACAGGGTGTACAAGAGTRGAAAGGAGATGCTGAAAATTGAAATCCACCCAGGTGATGATTCAGTTATTTTCTCCAGCAACTTCACCGGAAGATTTTTCACTCATAGCACTGGGCTTTCAGAGGTTAGTGCAATGAATTGATAAATTTAAATATGGCATCTGTATCAGGGGCATAGCGAGCTCTCGATTATACAGACAATAAGACTGTGAGCTAAATCCCTCTATTTCCCTTGRYCACTKTCCGTCTGTCYGTCAATGTTTGACTCGTAACCAATCTTCCTCRACCAATCGACATGGACAGACAGACGGACAGTGACCAAAGGAAATAGAGGARCTTAGCTGGCAGTCTAAAAGGCAATGTACCATTTTCTTGCCAAATCCACAGGAATCCGGCATGAATTAATCAATATTTTAGCAAACTTTTGCACCCCTTTCCCCCTTTACACTWGTTAGCTATGGCCTACTTTCATGGAAACTGGTCTCCAAGGCTGTTTTCTACTTTGAAAAATAAGATGTTGTGAGTTCAACAGATGTAGAATAATGCTTTGTGGTTTTCTTAGGATAAAATGTATTCCATAGACCAACAACCCCCTGACAAGCCGGGGATGAATTACTCCATTGCTAAACTGATAAGACAAGGAGCAAGGCTRTTTGAATTCATGCTACAAGTGAGTTTCCATAGCAACAGTCTCCATAGCAAAAGTCAAAGTATGCAATGTTGCTGGGAATCGAAGGTAAGTTAAATCTGAAATTTTAGTATGATAATTTGAAGAGAGTTTTTATTTGACAGTAATCAAGATATACATTAAAATACACCTCTAGAATAGGTCACTTGCATTATACAGTCATTTATTACCACTACCAGATTCCCTTGTGCACTTTCTTCTGTTCAGTTAATTAGCACCAATATTTTCTTATCTTAATTAAAATTGTCTTGAGGATATACRAATTTAAATAAGAAAGAAAACAATTTCTTAAAATTCAATCTTCATTCTAACAGGTTATGGATGTACCAGAAAATGTACCCTCAGAGACAACTCCACTTCAGATTTCAGAAACCGCTAATATCCCTCACGTAGGGAGATTCGTTGCATACTCTAATGGGCACCTGCATGTAGCCTTTGCAGACAGGACTATACTCAATGTGAGGTATCCAAAGATTGATCCGCAGACACAAAAAGAGGTTCTAGAGAGAGGTTTGATTTTCAATRTGATCTTGCCTAATGGAGAAGCTATGCAAGTCAATGGTCAAAGAATGTATGGCCTTGAAAGGTAAACCTTAACTTGGTCAATCTGCCTCTCCCCTATACTTTGCTTACTCGACCATCCCACCTACACCTTCCTGCTTAACCCTCCTTCCTAAATCTTCACTGCTGGACCTTACATACTTATAACCTTCCCTTTACTGGAACCTCTCTCCTACACATTCCTGCTTAACCCTCCTTGCTACACCTTCACTACTGGCCTGTACCTAAACCTTCCCTATATTGGAACCTCTCTCCTACACCTTCCTGCTTAACCCTAATTCCTCTACACCTTCACTGCTGGATCCTCCGTACCTAGACCTTCCCTATATTGGAACCTCTTTCCTACACCTTCCTGCTTAACCCTCCTTCCTACATATTCACTGCTGGACCCTACTTACCTAAACCTTCCCTTTACTGGAATTCGAACCTCTCTCCTACACCTTCACTGCTGGACCCTTCATACCTAAACCTTCCCTACATTGGAACCTTTCTCCTACACCTTCCTGCTTAACCCTCTTTTCTACACCTTCACTGTAGGACCCTTACTCCAGCACCTTTGTTTGCTATGGAGTGTGGAGTGTGGTCCACATATTAAATCTTATCAATTTCTTTCATCAGTAATATAATAAATTTTCCTTTTCCCTCAATTCATGGTACAGGTATATCAAACTAGCTTGTGAGTGGGGAGACTGGGTTAATTCATCTCCTCAACAAAGACAGGCATTCTACAAGGATACACYTTACAATCAGGATCAAAAAAGGTTAAGATTGAAAACATAACTTGATAAGCATCTCCAGTTGTTTTATTTTTGCCATGCTCATAGAATCTTATCTACTTACAAGATGTATTTGTTTGCTTCCTTCAGGATWGTGGATTCAGAAATCTGTAAATTAAGAAGATTTAACTGTATCCTTGTATGTTCACTTACCCATATACTTACAAAGTGTCAGACACTAACCAGAACCACTTTTATGAAGTTGGCCAATCTCGTCATAGAGTGAAAACTGTAGCCAATCAAGAGAGCAGCATCAGTATCATATTGACCCCAGCCAATCACAATTTTTTATTCCCACTGTTCTCATTAACATCTAAGTCCCCCCTCCCAGATATATAACCAGATTGTTGCTTTCTTCTGATTGACTTAARTTTAATTGCTTTGTTTTCACTCTACATTGTGATTGATTAACTTCGTAAAAGTGTTCCCTCTACTCAAAAAAATCTTCCCCTACATTTCACATTACCAGGATGTAACATCCTTAACTTCTACAAGATATCTTAAACAATGGACCMCTAAAGCAAATCCTGATGAACCCAAATATCAATCATTCAGAAGGCAGTCATAAGGTGGCTCAGGATAAGCAAGGAAGGGAAGGAATATTGTGTGCGACAATTACTCATGATATGCCCTCTGTGAATAATGCATTAAGGAAGACGACAGAAGCAATCAAAGACATTGAAACTTTCCTTCATTCAAAYGCAGTCAAAAAGACTATTTAATGCAAATTGTTGTAGTGTACAAACAAGAAACTTAATAGGATGGCAGACATTGGTAAGGGGAGACAATGTTATACATCTAAATATGCTTAAATTATAATGGGTTTTTCATGAGGAAATTTAGTGGGGGTATTTAGTGGGCATCTTCACATACACTTACAGTACTTGTAGAATGTCCAAAATTACACTGCCTGAGAAGGTCTTTTTCTGCCCTCCAAAATGGCCAGGCTGTTGTTCAGCCSTTTGGATGGAAAGGGGGGAAAATTCTCACAGGGTGGCTATACATGTAATACAAATAGAAGGTTGGACCTCAGATTTTGCTACATTGGGTAACATACATTATTTCCGATACACAGTGTTTTGAACATGCTGTGGTAGTTTAACTAACTSTTTCAAAAAATCACCTGGTCATTACGTATATAGTTCTTATTGGTTCTCTCCGAAAATCAGGAAAACACCTAAATTATTAACATCAGGGTTTATGAAGATGGTTACATGTGCTGGGTGAATCCAAGAAAATCATAGAGGAAGAGGGAAATGCATATAATGATAAAACCTGGAATTGGGTGATCAGCTTCTTTGGAAAWAAATCCCTCTATAGAGGGGTCAAGGCTGCCTCCCCACTCTCCCCTCTAGTAGATTCACCCTGGATGCACCTTTTATACTATATTTCTACATGTGGGTCAAAATTGTTGTCGCTACCATCTTGGATGTGTCCTACAGGCAGGTTACTACAACCAGCACCAAATAATTCCTTTATTGGTACTTCTTGTTTGAGTGTCGATCTGAATGGTTTTCTTTCATGTCCATGAAGGAGTGGAGTAGCAGCAGACTTGGGATCAAAACCCACAAACCATTGAAGAACCACAGGTAGATAAAGTGATGTACAGGGTCACTGGTGTTCAGGTGCTTGGAACCAGTCAACCATTCTGGACAAAATGTCATCCATCCTACATAGCAATATGACAACAGTTAGATTAATAAGAGATGGACAAGTAGATAATTTATTGATGGGGAAGGGAGGTTGCAGAAATTTATGCTGCATTTTATTATTTTTGTTTATATTTGATATTTCTTTTCTGAATTAATAATTAAATTAATATTTCTTTGTAGGTGAAGTGCTTCTGCAGTATTTATTTTTGGGACCTACACAACCCCCCTTAATTATTGTCCATCCCTAAGTAATTTCTGTTATATGCTTATCATGTACTTTTTCATGAGTGGTATATGGTGCTTCCTTGGTGTCTATTTTTGGGACCTACACAACGACCTATCTAACTGTCCGTCCCTAAGTAATGTAAGTAATGCTTATCTTATGCGTAGATATGGTTGTCGGATCTCTCCTGTGCTTCAAGGTTTTTTCCTCCTGGTTCTCCAGTTTCCCCCTCCAATTTCTAAATTTCAAGTTGGTCATCAAATGAGGGCCAAAGTCTTGTTAACCACTGGCTATTAATTGGCACTCAAAAAAGGAAGATTTTATAATAACAGGGAATGTAAATCTGATGTGGACTTCTTGATTTCACTCACCTCCATACAGTTCAGTGATACAAAGTATGATCTGCAAAAAGTGTCTAAGAAAAAAAATTGAATGTTATTGTTAAACCTCTGCACAATAGGCTTTTTCTAATTTCAGTAAGCAAGTTTAACTTTGGTCTAGAGTACTTATCACATAAAGCACTCCCCCTGTCACCTCACTAATCCAAGCCCTCCACAGCTTTATTTCTCATGGTCCAAGTTTTTCGGGCCATAAAACKTAAAGACATGATACATCATGTACAGCTTTCAAAAGGTTGGTAAAGGTTTTGTTGYGTGTTGGATACCAAGCCCAAAATGCACCACGGGTGATGTCAATAAAATTAACAAAAGGTCACAACAATGTGAAATTTTACCAAACTTTGTTTTGTCTGGATTTTTTTCATCTGTGCTGATATTATTCACATACAAATATAAAACATTTCAAGATTGGTGAACAATTTGCAAGATGCAACGAATCCTTCACCAACCTCTTTTGGAATACCTATATAACATACATACCGGTAGTACTTGTCTTGGCAAATTGCATAAACAAGAGCAATGTTGAGGAAGCCAAGTATGACTGTTATGATCTCAACAGAAAGTATATTGGGATCTGAATGAAGCCAGCGTGAGTCTGCTTTGCCATACTCACGCCCTGCAGGGAAAGTTGAAATTTGTTAATTAATGGAAATTTTTGAGGTTATGAGTTACAGATAAGTAAGCATCGGCAATAAAACAGCTAAAAGAAAATTTAGCAACATTAACGTTGTCRTGGAACAAATCAAGCCTAAGTGACTGGACTGAAAGAGAATATGGGTATAAAGCAGTTGACTGCATAATATCTGATTATTCTATGCATRTATTAGTTAAGTTCAGTCATTTTAACATGGCCCTTTGGATCCAATCAAGAGGCTTGAGCTGTTCAAGGACAATGTTTTTGAATTGACTACATGATGGACCATTGTTCCACCCCTTGTGGCCCCTCCCATTATAGGCCAGACATTGAAGTCTTTAAAAAAATTGCAGCTGCATAAGTTGCTTGATATACTGCAAGGATCTGCAGCTCAATTTGATACATTACTACTGCAGTACAACTATGTAGTTTATATATATTTGCAAATACATTAAAGTTAGTAAAGAATTTGCAGAAATTCCTTAAATTTAATCCTTACAAATCATAGCCACAGGGTTTTTAGAGTCCTCCACTGTTCCTGTTAGGGAGACGTAGACAAATGGACCTTCCTAAGACAATATAAAAAGCATTTAATAATAATAATAATATAATATGTATATTTTATATAGCGTCAATATCGTATAGCTTCAACAACGCTTTACAATGTTTATTAGTAACTAATACTGAGTACAATATCCAAGACAGTGGAACTGAAAATAGAAGTTTGAAATAAGAATGTGAGTGAAGGTAAAAAACTTAATAATATTTTCAATTTGACATGTATATAACAAAAACACTATTTTTAAGAATTCATTTAAAATACATCACATTATGGTTACATTTTAACATACACTTAATTACATTAATTACGCATTTATAAAAATGACATCAAATTTTCGTTTAACACCTTAGAGGGAAAGGATACTCACCTTAACTTACTTTTGAACCTTGATCGGTGTAAAAAATAAAGACAATAAATAACTGTCCTGACTTGTTTAATGGGTACGTGGCTTAAGCTTATTAGAGTACAGGATAGCATATAAAGGTCTTGGTGATAACATAAACACCGTTTCTAATTTGATTTCTACCTATGCTCTAYCTAAGATGGACAGTTTATGACAAAGCAGTTGTTTTACGCAATTAACCGTACAATTACAGGTCATTTGGCGCCTTTTTTCCAGCAATTAGGCAGAGATAATGAAGACAAAACGGTGATAATTGGGGTAATTGTTACCAACACTTACCAGTGTAAAATGCGTGAGCAAGTCGTAAAATAGCCAAACTAGAATCCATTTGTCATTGGATTGAAGCTTTTTGCCTGCCCAGAAGCCCAAAAACCATGAAATCAAGGCTTGCAGAGCGGCAATCCCAAGGCTGATGATCCCCACTTTATTTTCGGTAAAATCTACCGCCATTTTTTACCACGATGATCAGGTGATGCAAGGTGCAGTCACGCATTAAACAGGGAGCCCAAGCAATATTGAAGGTAGAATGCTGATTGGGAGAAAATTAAAAGTACGAAAATATTTTCTATTCAATCTTTGCTATAGTAAAAAAATATTAGCAAAACATATGAAAATAATGGCAACTACTAACGTTTGGGAATGGCTGGCTGAGAGGAATTGAATTGTGGGAAATTGGGGATTGCTGGCTTTTTTTTTAAAWTTTTTTATCTTGTTTGAAAATCTTRGAATTGAGATCTTCGGGGGTTGATAGACGTGATAGCCGTTTTTGATTTTCAATTTTCCCATTCATTTTCCATTTTTCATTCGGTTTGCTTTCCCTCTTACTAGTCCTGCTCGTCCTCGCCGGACCGCGGTAGATTGGACTGGTGTTTAGAGTTCAGTTAGCTTCCTGCTTCTCTAAGGCGTGCATGATTTGAAATCTCAAAATTCATCAACTTTAACTCCGATTTACCGTCTCTTTAYCACTCAAAGACAATCAAAAAAACCCTAGGAAGCTCACAAGGACTCATACTTAAGAAGGTAGGCTTGAAATACACGACAAAAATCCGTCAAAACCCCGTCATTTCAGTCGATAAAGTTGGGCTGGTTTGGACGTCATACAAATGACYTGGGACATCACCCTGTTTGTATTTTATCTCCGTTGAAAGGCGTGGATTTGAAGTCCGTGAATTGTTTGCTCAATCTTTCGTATTACATATTTAAATTTATCTGGCTACTGTCGTACTGTCGTATTTATTTTCGTGGTATCTTAATTCATTTTTCAACGAGTCGTTCTAAATTTCCAAAATCGATCGATCAACAAATTGTTTTTACGGTTAACTGAATATAAACATATTTGAAGCTTAGGCCCTGGCTTTATTCCCCTAAAATCTTCCAAACCTAGTATCTTCAAAGAAAAATTTCAAAGCTTTCCTTCCTTCTCTGAATGATCGGTTAGTCAAAATTATATTAATTCAAGCTTATTAAAGTTAACCATAAATGTTGGAAAATAACACTTTTTAGAAATAATCCATTCTGATTCTGATTAGGATTAATATATTACGTTAGATTTAGCTTTATTAATGGTTGACCCCTAATGCTTAAGCCAAATGTACTATTTTAAATCATCGCTTGAATATTTTACATTTTGTCAGTCTACATTCCCAGAGAATCTCAAGTTTCCAGCAGTCGTGAAGTGGCGAAAGATTTCGCCCACATTCATAACAGCTAGACATTGTTTGTGTACATTATTATGATAATCTTTTGTGTTCTTGTACATGAGATCGATTTGTGCCCTCTTTCGTTGGTATTATAATACTCATCACTTGTGTAATCCATGAGAAGCTGGTTTTTTAAAGAATTTGATTAAATATCGAAATATACAAATAAGTTATCTTTATTTTTTAAACATCACCACAACTTTGGAAAGGGTGATTTCGTTGGATCCTTTGCTTTTATTTTAATTTTTTTTAAAGGTTGAGGCAACATTGAAAAAGGGAAATAAAAGTATTAAAGTACTGGCTGATTATTTTTGTATAATGGCAGCGAAAAAAACAAATTTCAGGGTGCAGCTTGAAACTACAGAGTTTACAGAATATTGAAAACTGCAGTAATGTTAATATCAACTCGACTATTCGAAACACAAATTGTGAATTTGAGGATTAATAACTTCATTTTAAGAATTACTAATAGGAAACTGATCATTGTACTGCAGGTCTGAAGATCTGAAGCAAGCTACGGTCCAGCCATCATGCCTTTATTTGGCTCCTCCAAGAAGAGTCCTCAAGAGGTGGTTAAGAGTACCAGAGAAGCTCTTACTGTCCTGGAAAAAGAGCCACCTGGAAGTAAAAAAGCTGAAAAGGTCAGTCACCCGTAAAAATCGCGAATTTTTACCCCTAAGAGATAGGACAAGCATCCCCAGAGTACCCCCCCGGGGTCAGAAATAACGCTTTACTAAAACTAATAAAACTAGTTCCAGAAAAATGGAATATAAATTCAATGTTGTGACTATCAAAACAAGCAAATTTTCAAACACTGACATACGACTCAGTTATCCTGATACCTTATCAAATAATGATTGTTTTCTTTTTAAGGCCTTGGAGGAAATTTCCAAGCAGTTTGGTGCCATGAAAAACATCTTACAAGGATCAGGAGGTATGTCATTGCCTTGAGAAATTAATAGTTAAATAAACTGTGGAGTCTTTGTAAGTGGTTTAAAATGTTCTTTGAACTCTAGATCAAGAGCCCCAGACTGAGTTAGTTGCCCAACTTTCCCAAGAGTTCTACAATAATGCCCTCTTCCAACAAATACTTGATAATCTAGCTAAGCTTGATTTTGAGGTAAGTATTTAATTTGATTTAAAAAATCCCATCCACAATAGATACACACTTTTGTCTTTATTTCTCCTTTTCTGAGAAAAGAGATTGGGGAGGCAATAGGTAGTTTGTTTGCAGTGGCATATCTTGGATTTTGAAAAGAGGGGAATCATTGATCAGTGAGGATGAAAGACAATATTTCAACCTTCTTGTATACCACTGCACATATATTTGAAATATGATTAACCAGTTTGAGGGTTTTCCAATTTCTCCGATTTTCCTCCATCTGCAAAAATCAACTTTTAAATTCCAATTGGAATTACTGTGGATGAATAGTTACTCAGTGGAAATGCCACTGCTAAATTCTTTTTTTATTTTTTTAAATTCTATTTAACCAGTTCACTGTATTATATAAATTTTTAACCAAATAAAATTGCTGTACAACAGTCAAAAAAAGATGCAGCCCAGATCTTCAACAATATCTTGAGACGTCAGATAGGAACCAGGTCACCAACCGTGGAGTATATCTGCTCTAAGGAAGAGATGTTGTTTCAGATGATTGATGGGTAAGATTAAGAATTTTAATTTTGATTTTAGGTAGATTTTAGTTCTTAAGACAACAATTTTATTCCAAGCATTTGCCCTTAGAGTAAATAATAATAATATTGTTAAAAAAATCTGCGCTGACATTTTAGGGGTTTTTGAATAATTATATATAATAATAATGAATTATAATTTATTAACTTATATAGCACATTTTCCATAAAAATGATCAAATTCGCTTTACAAAGTTATAGTATAAAATATTTGAGATATAACGCGTGCTGATTGGCTGGCAACCATGTTTATATCAGAGGACAGAGACACACTCACCCGAAATCATTCAAAAATATTTTATAAAAGCGATATAAAACGTCCACTTGTGTCTATATACTGTGATATAAACACTCTGGGAGCTGTAGAGCACTGGAGAAGTCAAAGAAACACTCGGCTATGCCTCTCTTCGACTTCTCACTTGCTCTACAGCTCCCATCATGTTTATATCACAGTATATGGACACGCGCACTGTTTTATATTCCCAATATATATAAACCCAACACCCTTGAATTAGCACTCCCATTACTATACCAATGGAGAGCTACATCTTACAGTGTCAGAGTGGAAACACACTGTACTCATTTTAAGCAGCATTAAGCTGCTATGTTGCTCAATCTCATCACTGTGAAGCTCAAGTTCATATTTTATTCAACCAACCATTGCTTTCTAACCATATTAATTTGTTTTTTTCCAATATAGGTATGAAGTACCAGAAATTGCACTCAACTGTGGAGTAATGCTAAGGGAATGCATACGGCATGAAGCTCTGGCCAGGGCCATACTGAATAGTGATAGATTCTACAAGTTTTTTATCTATGTGGAAGTGTCAACATTTGATATTGCATCTGATGCCTTCTCTACCTTCAAGGTAATAAAGGATTTCATTGAGTGGCTGGGCTCTTCCACTGAATCGTATGAGCTTTTATCATGTATTTTTTAATTCAAGGGTATTCTTGAATTATTTATTGTATTATTCTTGTATTATTTTTTAATCGATAAATAAATTACCATAGCTTGAAAAAGCATATTAAAATATTATTAAAATGGTAAAGTTTGGGGGGGAAATGAGTTCAAAACTCACAGATATATGATTTTTAAAAAGTGTGGATTTTGTAAGAAAACCCTTGCTGGCAGGCTACTTTTGCCTACTCACAAAGTCATACAAAATTTCAATTTTTATCATTGCAAGTTTTACTTATTATTACAGGCTCTTTCCAGCTATGGTAATTATAGCTCATATTTTGGTTTTAGAAGAATATTTGTTTTTACACTGCTCTCTGAAAAGTTCATGTTGTTTCATCAAACAAATTCGTTATCGTTTTAGGAACTCCTGACAAGGCACAAGATAATGTGTGCAGAGTTTCTTGACAAGAATTATGACTCTTTTTTTGAAAAATATAAGAAACTGCTGAACTCTGATAACTATGTAACAAGACGACAGTCTCTGAAGGTAATAGAAACAAACCAAAAGCATGCCAGTTATCAACCAACATCTTGCTAAAACCCTACAGACAACTTACCACTATTTATCCCACATCACTGGAACCTTGCCAACAACTCACTGACACCCTGCCAGCAACCCACTGACACCTTACCAACAACCCACTGACACCCTACCAACAACCCGCTGACACCCTACCAACAACCCACTGACA